AGACGGAGTCTCTCCCTGTCGCCCAGGTTGGAGTGCAGTGATGTGATCTTGGCTTACTGCAACCTCCACCTCCCAGGTTCAAGTGATTCTCCTGCCTCAGCCTCCCGAGTAGCTGGGATTGCAGGTGCATGCCACTATGTCAGGCTAATTTTTTGTATTTTTAGTAGAGAAAGGTTTCATCATGTTGGCCAGGCTGAATTCGAACTGCTGACCTCAGGTGATCCACCTGCCCTGTTCTCCCAAAGTGCTGGGATTAAAGGCGTGAGCCACTACACCCAGCCTGGAAATTTTTACTTCCTAAGAAGTTGATTTATTTTCTCTTTATGGAGAATGAAATCATGTAGCCGATGATGTTTGCCCCTTTCACAGACAAATGTGCAGTTTATATAAAAGTAAAGTTATATGAGCCATTAACATCTCACACTCTCTCTTTTTTTGTTGTTTTTTTTTAGACAGTCTCCCTCTGTCACCCAGGCTGGAGTGCAGTGGCGTAATCTCAGCTCACTGCAACCTCTGCCTCCTGGGTTCAAGCAGTTGTCCAGTCTCAGCCTCCTGAGTAGCTGGAATTATAGGTGCCTACCATCACGCCTGGCTAATTTTTGTATTTTTAGTAGAGACGAGGTTTCACCGTGTTGGGCAGGCTGGTCTTAAACCTGTTGGCTAGGCTGGTCTCGAACTTATTATCTCTTTATTCTCTCTAAATTTCTCTGATGCCTGTTTTTCAATTATTTTCCTTTTTCTGTTTTGTTGTGTGGAAAACCAAATAAGGAATCCTGTGTTGGGGGTCCCCTAGACGACTCTCAGACTTGATAATTTACTAGAAGAACTCACAGAACTCAGAAAAATTGTATTCATGGTTATGGTTTATTATAGCTAAAGATACAGATGAAACCAGCAAAGAAAAAAGGTGCATTAGAGCAGAGTTCAGGAGAAACCAGGTAGAAGCTTCCAGTTATCCTCTCTGAGTAGAGTCATGTGAATAGCACTTAATTTTCCCAGCAATGATATGTGACAACACGTATAAAGTATAGCCAACCAGGGAAACTCACCTGAGTCTTGCTGTCTAGGGTTTTTTATTGGGGGTCAGTTCTGTAGGCATGGAATAGCCATATGACTTGACCTTAGCCACTTAGACCCCAGCTTGCCAGAAGTCGAAGTGATATAGTGTGACCCAAAGTCCCAAGCATACAAAAATACGCATTTATATAGATTACATTGTTAGCATAAACTATTTGTCTTGCTCCAAGATTTCAGGTATACAAAGAGACTCTTATCAGGCAAGATATTCCAAGGGCTCAGAGATTATTTCTTAGGAATTGGTCCAGGGTGAATTCTAAAGACATTTGAAATGTGCAGGGTTTGGGCAGCCTAGGCCTGCTGAGTTAACACTTTACTGCAAAGTCCACTCTTCTGGCCCTTGGCCTAGGCTCTCTTACAGCAAAATGATAAAATTTGTTTGAGCATCTACATTTAGTTTAGTATTTAATACAGCATATACTAGACATAGCAATAGTATCTGTTTGCATATTCCTAACATTTGGAAGAGCCAGTGTAGGGTAGGGGTAGATTTAAATAGACAACTAATCCATCTTACAAAACCATTACATTTCATACTAATTTGATTATTTATTTATTTAGAGACACAGTCTTGCTCTATTACCCAGACTGGAGTGCAGTGGCAAGATTTGGCTCACTGCAACCTCTGCGTCCTGGAGTCAAGTGATCCTCCCACTTCAGCCTGTCAAGTAGCTGGGACTACAGGCATGTGCCACCATGCCCAGCTAATTTTTGTACTTTTTGTAGAGACAAGGTTTCACTATGTTGCTCAGGCTGGTCTCAAACTGCTGAGCTCAAGCAGTCCACCTGCTTCAGCCTCCCAAAGTGTTGGGGTTAGAGGCGTGAGCCACTGTGCCTGGCCTAATTTCATTGTTTATTTACCCTCTTGATCTACTGCTATTTGTACCTTATGATAAATTTACACCGAACTATTTAGGATAAAAAGTAGCTGATGGTTAGCTAAATCTAGTTTTTCCTCAGACCAGTGACTCCCCATCAGTATTACATCCTCAATAAGCTTTAACTCAATCTTCCAATAAATTTGATTATTAATATCTGTATTATCGCATGAGTTATTCATATAAGACAGTCGAATCTTATTAACAATGCCAGTGTTACACCCTATCACAGTATGGTCAGAATATGGATTCAGGTCAGTAAGAATTATAGAGGTATTTGCTAAACCGTCCTAACAGACTCAGCACTTGTGCATATACCAGATATTATTCCTGACAAGTATTATTACAATTAGCTATAACTTGGTTAATTCTGGGTTCTAAGACAATTGAGGACAAAATCCATCATCCTGTCTCAATCCACAGGCTTGCACTGAGACTGATTT